AAGGGGCTGGGGACGGGGCTCGGGGGTGAAGCACCCCTGGGGTCCATCCCTGGTATCAAGAAAGAAGAAGAGAAAGAAATTGGAGTTTCCTGAAAAAAATCGCAAGTTCTAGAACTTTTTGCTAAGGCTTCTGGGTAATCGTGCAGTATTTTAAGTCTTGGAGGAGGGAGCATCTCACGGCTCCTTCCCAAAGCACCACCCCAGATCCATCCGCCGCCCTGCAAAAGAAAATTGTCCCCTCTTTTTGTCCAAATTCTCTGTCCCCCTCTCTGCTCTCTAGAAAGGCTGGTCCCAGCCTCTGAGATCCGCAGGGTCTCTGTGGCCATGGAGTCTGGGGGCGGTGACCCAGCTGGGTAGGTGGCAGGGACTGGGTTCAAGATTAAATCTTTAGGACTGGGACGTGGCTCTGCGGGAAGGCACTGGCCGAGCGGGCGGGAGCCCTGGATTCCAGTCCCCACAGACACCAACGGGGACAGGAACATCAGTCTCTCCTGAGGGTCCCGCCTACCACACAGGTGTATGTGGACCCGCTGTCCCCGACACCCAGGTCGGCCCAGGCACCAGGGTCTGGTGGAGACAGAGGCAGGGCCTCCCGAGAAAGAGAAGCCCTGTCCTTGGAGGGAAGAGACACAGAAATCAACGTCACTGTCACCTCTTTGTATGTGACTCTGTCCTAACTTGAAACCATTTAATCCACTTTTTTTTTTATACCAGGGGGTGCTGAACCCCTGAGCCCCGTCCCCAGCCCCGTTTTCTATTTTATTTAGAGACAGGGTCTCGCTGAGTTGCTCAGGGCCTAAGTGGCTGAGGCTGGCCTCCACCTTGCGATCCTCCTGCCTCAGCCTCCCGAGCTGTGGGATGAACAGGCGTGGGTGGCACTGCACCTGGCTGATCTGTTCCTTGTTACAGAGATGAAGCAAAAAGTTGTGACAATAGAATCTGGTTGGATATTGGAAAGCATTTCTCACACACACACACACACACACTCACAGGTATATTCTCTCTGTCTCCTTTATTTCCTCTGATTTTCTGATTTATCCGGCTGGGCTTGCTTGTCCCCTTTTTCAAGTTTGAAATCATCTTACCTTAAAATAAAAATATAAAAATTTTTTAAAAAGCCGGGCGCCGTGGCGCACACCTGTCATCCCAGCAGCTCGGGAGGCTGAGGCAGGAGGATCGCAAGGTGGAGGCCAGCCTCAGCCACTCAGCGAGGCCCTGAGCCACTCAGCGAGGCCCTGTCTCTAAATAAAATAGAAAAAGGGCTGGGGACGGGGCTCAGGGATTGAGCGCCCCTGGGTTCCATCCCTGGGACCAAAAAATGGAATTTGAATCGAATTGTCGTGTGTCATTTGGGATCCGCCCGCTCTGGGAATCCCCTGCCCCAGGTGAATCTGTCCGTCTGTCTGGATGGACGACAGGGATTCCTTTGAACAGCCTCCCTCCCCCGGGGCGGTGTGTGTCCCTGTGCCCGGAGGATCCCTTGGAAATCTCTGTCCCCCCCTGTCTTCATAACAGGAGGCTTCAGGGAGCAGGACGCAACTTTTGGCTAAGGGAGGTCACCCGGGTTGGGATCCTTCCTATGAAACTGGGAGAGGCTTGGAAATGGCCCAGCCGCAGGGAAGGAGGCCAGGGCCAGCCGGCCCCACCTGGGAGCAAACAAATGGTACAAAGACCAGCCCCACCCCGGCCGCCCTGGCGCCAGGCCCCAGGGTCTAGAAAACCAGCCTCAGCCCTGCAAAGGACGGCCACTTTGTGACGCCAGGTCTGGAGCTATGGTGGCCTGGGGGCACCAACCTGCTCATCTACTTATTTCCTGTTTGACGGAACCCACCACAGTGCCTGGCACGGTGCTCTCCAAAAAAAATATGGGGTGACCGGAGCCAGGCGCGGCGCCCGGCAGCTGGGGAGGCTGAGGCAGGAGGATCGCAAGGTGGAGGCCAGCCTCAGCCACTGAGCAAGGCTCTGAGCCACTCAGCGAGACCCTGTCTGTAAATCAAATAGAAAATAGGGCTGAGGACGGGGCTCTGGGTGTTGCTGAGGTTTGGCTGAGGTTTTGCTGAGGCCGGCCTCCAACTCTCGATCCTCCTGCCTCAGCCTCCCGAGCCACTGGGATGACAGGTGTGGGCCACCGTGCCCGGCTGACGATGATGGTTTGGGAGGGATTTGGATCTGGGAGTCGTAATGAGAGATGGTGAAGGTGAGGGAGGTCATGGTCATGCACCAATGAGGAGGCCGTACTTGGTGAAGTATCATGGATCGACACTGATCGGGGACATGAGGATCATGGGTGTGGGTCACCAGGAGCATCCACAGTGAAAGCATGGGGTCCTCAGGTCCTGGGTGACCAAGGGCCTGCAGGACATTGGGTGATCATGGCGTCCAGAGGGTCCTAAGTGACCTGTTTCAGATCAAACTTGGTGACCAGAGCCAAAGGGGGGGGGTTACAGACTTTGGAGATGTGGGCGACTGGTTGTACCAATGACAAGGGGACAATCACTAGATTGGTGGCCAGGGAGGTTGATGATCGGGGGCTGAAAAAGACCAATCACAAATCCTACTATTTGTGACATTAGTGACGGTGCATTGGTGATCAATACCTTGGCGATCAGAAACATGGATGAGAAGAGAGATTCATGAGCAGGCAGGCGATGGGTGAGTGGAGGCAGCGATCACCTTTTGTGGATTTGGGTGATCAGACACATCATGGATCGGAGGCATCGATGAATGATTATCGGTGATCAATATCAGTGATCGGTTGTTAGGAAGCACAAGTCTGAAGACAGTCTGTGGGGATCCGAGATGTCATCGACCAAGAATATCCATCATGATATTCTGAGCCCCGTCCCCAGCCCTTTTTCTATTTTATTGAGAGTCAGGGTCTCGATGCGTGGCTGAGGCTGGCCTCCACCTTGCGATCCTCTGGCCTCAGCCTCCCGAGCCGCTGGCATGACAGGCGTGCGCCACCGCGCCCCACTAGCTGTCACGGATGATCACCATCCCTGATCAAAGGCGACAGCCATCGATATCGCTGATCAGACATTGGCCATCAGGTCGGTCCATACATATCGATCAGGTTGGTCCGTGAACAGGGGTGACCAGGTATGTCAGAGAGATCAGAAATGTCCCTGGGGAAAAGTAACTGGGTGTCAGGTTTGGATTTTTTTTTAAGAAACCCCCAGATGCAAAACAATTTTTAAAAAATTAAAAAAAAAAAATTAAATGGTGAAGCATCAGACACACCCCACCCAGTCTCTCTCCTGGGCTGTGACCCCACCAAACAGGTTACAGATCGATTCACCAAAAAAAAGTATTTTTTTTTTATTATTCTTAACAGTATTCACTTTTCAGGATAGGCGGGTAGCATACAATTTTTTTTTTTATTTTTACAGACAATATATAAATGTTGTACATAATTAACAATAACTTAGTTCACTAAATCCAAAATAAAACAAGCCCAAAGAAAACAGAAAAACAGAAAATACTGCCCATTCTTTTTCCTTTTTTTTTTTTCTCAGGCGGATACTAGTACAAAATAAGTTACTTTCTGGGGTGTGGTGATTTTGTCCCCAGCCCAAGACATGGCCCTGGGTGGACAGGTGTCTTCCAGAGCTGGGGACGGGCCACTGCACCCCCAAGATCACCACGGACAGAAATCTGAAGCTTAGGACATGTCTATGTACAGCTGTACCTTGGAAGGGTCCAGAGGGCCACACACACAAAAACCAGGGGACCCCAGACTTAGCCCAGAGGTCCCCCACCCCAAAAAACGAGTTTGAAAATAAGACAATTAACTCACGGGTGAGTTCAACGTATGCAGTTTGATTTTTTTTTTTTTTTTCATTTTTAATAGTTTCTTCTTTGTCTCAGAGTGGGAAAGGGGGCGTGGTCAGAAAAAGGATGTATTTACAGAGGTCTACCTGGCAGAGAAGGGAGGCCAATCATGGCTTTGGGTCCCGTGAAGGGCACGTACATACGGGGATCTCGGTCCAGCTTTGGTCTTAAAGCGGAGGGAGCCGATCTGGGGAGACGTTTCCCCTTTCAAGAAAAATGTTGTTTCCTTCCTGTGCCCCGCCCCGGGCCTGGGAACCACTGTGGGGACCGCCCCCAATTGTCTCTGCCTTCTAGGGCCCCCAGCCAGCTCTCAGGGTGCGCAAGGCTGGTGTCCCCTGGTCACTGCCACCAACCACCAGCAATCCCTCTTGGCCTTGGCTCAGCCCAGGACACAGGCTGAGATTTGCAGACACCTGTCCCCCAGAGCCCTGGTCCCGTAGAGAGAGACCTCCGTGTCCTTACTTCTGTCACCATAATTTTTTTTTTCTCTCTCTCTCTGAACCTTGTTCATGAAGGAAATGTCACCTGGACGGGCCACCTCCCAGCCCAGGTGAAAAATATTCACAGTAACTTGCAGACAGGCTGCTGGGCCCCCCCCCCCCGGGGTATGGTGGCCTTCCAAGGCGACAAGGAGGTGGCTTTAGGCTCCGGCTGGTGTCTGTGTCCAGAGAAGGGCGGGGGGCAGCGGAAGGGACGGGTCCCCCCACCTCCCATTCCTGGGAGCTGCGTGCCCTGCCAGGGCCACCCGCCTCTCTGTCTGTCCGTCTGTCTCTGTCCAGCGGGGTGGCTTGTCCCCTAGCCCATGGCGGTCACCATGCTGGAGGGGTGGGGGTGGCCAAAGGAGAGGCTGGAGGAAGGGTGGATGGGCGTGGGCGTGGGCAGGATGTGTCCCGAGTGGCTGAAGGGCGGGAGGTGACCCACGGGGGCCATGTGTCCTGCCAGGGCGGCGGCGCTGAAGGGCGACGACTTGTCCTGCATGCACCTGGACAGCTCCTCCAGACCCTCGGTCCCCTTCTTGCTCTTCTTGGACTTGTTGGACATCTTCCGATTGCGGGTCTGGATGCCCTCCTTCTTCATGGTCAGCGGCCGGTTAACCTGGGACAGGGACCACCGCGACACGGTGAAGGGGACACAGGGTGGGGGAGGGGCTGGGGACTGTCCCCTGCCCAGGACCAGATCCCCCCTCCCTGGACCAGATCCCCCTCCCTGGCTGCTTCTGCAGGGGACATAGGAGACCTGCATTGGGGAGTCAGGGGTCTCCAGGGGGCGTGGTCTCCGGGGGCGTGGTCTCCAGGGGGCGTGGACTGGTGCTCTTAGCCACGCCCCCTTTCCATGCCCATCAAACTCCCTGTCTCCATTTCTGGAAGGGTGTCTTGATCAGGGTGGCCACAACCCAGCCACACCCCCCAGTCCCTAGGTCACCTCGCTGCCCGCCCCCTGCACCCCCAGATCCTCCCCTGACCGTGACCCTGACCTTGACCCTGACCCTGATCCCCTCCCCCACACCCAGAGCTGCTCAGGGCAGCCCCTCCCCTTTCCTAGGCGCAGCCCTCCCGGTGACTCTGGCAGGCGACAGCGGCTTCCCAAGCCAAGCCAAACTGGAGATTGTGGCCGGGAGGGGACCGTGGCGCCCGGGGCAGCACAAAGAGCTCAGGTCCCCCGGGGAGGGGCGGGGCGGCGGACTCACATTGTGCAGCTTGTAGTAGAGGCCACAGGCGTTGCACACCGGGTCCCCGTTGGCATTCCGGCGCCACAAGGTGGTGGTTGTCGTCTGACAATTCGCACAACAGGTGCCAGCTCTCCGGGCGGCCGACTGGGAGCGGAGGGGCGGCGTCAGCGGGCTCCCACGCCCCCGCCTCGACCTCCCTCCGCCCGCCACTCCAGCGGGCCACCGGTCCCCAGCCTCCCCTCCCCCTCTGCCACCGCCAGCTGAGAAGCCGGGGGACCTCAGAGCCCGGGCATCAGGCAGCTCAAAACCAGGGCATTTTAGAAGCTGGGAACTAAATGGAGCGGAGGATCACAGAACCCAAGGGCCTGGAATCCCAGCGGCTCCGGAGGCTGAGGCAGGAGGATCGCAAGGTGGAGGCCAACCTCAGCCACTTAGGGAGGTCCTAAGCCACTCAGCGAGACCCTGTCTCTCAATAAAATAGAAAAAGGGGCTCCGTGGTGAAGCGCCCCTGGGTTCATTCCCTGGTACCTGATAATAATAATAATAATAACAACAACAACAACAACAACAGAATTGGGGAACTGAGACCCTGGAGGAGGCTGTGAACTACAGTAGGCACCCATGACCTCGGTCTGCCCCTTTGCAGCCCCTGGGTCAGAAGCTGCCTCTCTCACCTCCTCCACGACTCCCCTTAAAAAATCCTGGGTGAGTCGCCTGTCATCCCAGCGGCTCGGGAGGCTGAGAGAGGAGGATCGTGAGTTCCAAGCCAGCCTCAGCCAAAGCGAGGCCCTGAGCCACTCAGGGAGACCCTGTCTCTAAAGAAAAATACAAAAAAGGGCTGGAGACGGGGCTCAGGGGTCGAGGGCCCCTGAGTTCAATCCCTGGTAACTCCCCAGCACCCGAAAGAATAAAATAAATCCTGGGTGAGGGTCTGGGGCGGTGGCTCAGTGGGTGAGGGTCTGGGGCGGTGGCTCAGTGGGAGGCGCTGGGTTGGATCCCCAGCACCCACCGCATGGAAATCAATTAATAACATAAAAGTATGGTGTCCATCTACAACTAAAGAAAAAAGAAAGAAAGAAAGAAAAATAAAAATTTAAAAAAAAATCCTGGGTGAGTCATCCGTGTCCCTGAGACCAGGGCAGGGAGACCCCGTAGCCAGCTGCCCAGGAGGGGGAGGGGGTGGGAAATGTCAGATTGAGAGAGTGCGGGGGCTCCTCTGTCCCCTACAGCCACCGATTCGCCCCCTGGGGCTATTGAAAACGAAAGTTTACTGTCACTTAATACAATTTTAAGATGCAATTTTTTTTTTTTAAAAATGGGGACATTTCTAGTGATCAATAGTTCCAGGTGGCCCAAGGCCCAGCTTCCCCCAAAACTTCCCAGACTAAGGTCACCAAGCAGCTAGCGTGGGGGTAGGAGGAGGCTGAGGTCACAGAGGGGGACCAGGGACAGCCGCCTGCCCGGCTGACGCAGGGAGGGGTCTCCATGACTCAGTCAGTCCCCTGAAGTTGGAATTCTGACTCAGGGGCCACCAGCCTCAGCCTCCACCCCTCCCTCCCTCCCTCCCCTTCCCAGCCTCTCCCCGCGGCCTCCCTCCAAGGGGGAGGGGGTTGGGGAAAGGGGGGATGCCCCCAAAGCAAGCAAACGATTTAAGCCCTCATAAATCACTTGGCCCTGCAAAAAAAAAAAATAGAGAGAGAGATATATTTATTATTCTTAGCATTTTACGCATTATTTGCACAGTGGAGGGTATTAGAAATTTCAAAACAGCCCAGCGAGAGGCAGGACCTAGCCTGAGCCACCTCTAAAACCCTTTGCAGAGTCCGGAAACAGATACACTCAGTTTCCTTATCTTTGGGCTGCAGATGTGTCCGGATAGGAAACTTCAACAGGAGATCCGAAAGGCCACTCATATTTTTTTTTTTTCAAAATCACTCAAATGAAAATACCCAGTATAGGTGACTCTATGGAAAAAATAATAATAAAGGTTTTTTTTTTTTTGGAGGGGGGGTTGGCTAGTGTGTGTGTGTGTGTTTTATTTAAATAAGCACAAAGTGCTTGTGTTGGGAACAGGGGAGGGCCACCAGGGCTGGCCACAGGGAAAATTACTTCATTGCCTTATTTTTTTTAAATTAGTTATTATTATACTTTTTTTTGGGGGGGGGGAAAGTAGAGGCCAGAGGACAAGGTTGGAGACCTTTGGACACTTGATTTGGGGGATCCCTGCCTCTACCCCCTGCAAGCTGACAGGCATGAGGGTATCTGGTGGATTGCACAGAAAGAAATCTAGACTAAAAAAAAAACAAGAAAAAAAAATCTGGCTAGAAAGAAGGATGATCCAATCCAAACTGATCCCCCAAATGATAAAAAAAAAAAAGAGGGATTGAACTCAGGGACACGCAACCACTGAACCCCATCCCCAGCCCTATTTTGCATTTTATTGAGAGACCGAGTCTCGCTAAATGGCTTAGAATAGACCTCGCTTTGGCTGAGGCTGGCCTCCAACTTGCCATCCTCCTGCCTCAGCCTCCCCCACGCCCCCAAGAGTTGCTAGGATAACTGGCGCGCGCCTGGCTCCCCCCAAGATGATTTTTAAGAATTAAAAAAATTTCCAGACGGGTGTCCTCCCTCCCTCCACCCCGGGGTGCCGTCCCCCCTATCTCCGTCCCAGGTACCCCACTCCTACCAGTCTCCGCTTGGGTTTGATCAAGGGTCGGTTCTGCCCGTTCATCTTGTGATACAGCCCGCAGGCATTGCACAGGTAGTGACCGGTCCCATCTCGCCGCCACAGAGGGGTGGCCGTGGCTCCGCAGTTGACACACTCTCGCCCTTCTGGACAGGGGACAGGGAGAGATGCGGGTCCCCCTTCAAGGACAAGATCCCAGGGACAGAGCGCACAGGCAGCCCAAAGCCAGGCCAGACTTGCCCAGGCAGAGCAGAACGGGGACGTCCCATAGCCGGACCTAGGACGCCTTTGTTCCTTTCCTAGAGGGGGGACCCTGCCTGATCTGTTCCCCCAGCTCCATCTGCCATCTGGGGGAGCCCTTGGATCCTTCAACTTGAGTTCTGGATCAGAAGGAAAAATTCTCCCCCAACTTTTCTCCCAGAAACCCTAAGAATTCAGCCCTGGGCAGGGATTGCAGTTACTGCTCTTTCAAATAGAATAAATAGAAAGTTCCTTTTCGTGTTGGACTTGGAAGGGGAGGAGGAGTTGTTGTTGTTTTTCTTTCTTAGTTGTTTAGTGAGTTGTTTCTTGTTCTTTTTTGTTTTTTTTTGTTTTTTTTTTTGTTTTTTTGGTTTGGTTTGGTTAGGTGCAGGACCATCTGAATTGCAAATCACACACCAAACAAACTTGGGGGAATAGAGAGACCCAGCCGAATGGGGACCCTGCACGGCCATCCAGCAGGGGAGTCGCTGTCACATTCCCTGGGAAATGAATTCTTCCTGATGGGAGTTCCAAACTAAAGTGGCCAGGGTGTCGCAGAAAGGGACGCTTTGGTGAGGAGACTCCAGAGTTTAAAATAAAAATAAAACAAAAAAACAAAAAAACAACTTAGAAAAAATCTTTTCCCTTCTCCCTGACTCTAAAGGGATTGGGGAGGAGATGGAGACCGCTGGGGACTTGGTGCTAGCCACAGGTCATTGCCCCCAAGGCCACATTCCTGGACAATCCTAGTTTGATCTGGCCACTGCTGGCCAAGCGGTGCGGGTACCCGTGGTGGCTGCTGCGTCCACTTGTCCCCTTGCTGTAGCCCTCAGGGAGGGAGAGTGAAGGGCATGCGGGGTGGTTGAGGGGGTGGTGGGGGGGGGGGACAAGTCTTGGGAATTTTGCTTTAGGGGGAAAAAAAAATCTTCCCAGGAGATCAGGAGCCATCAGATTCCAAGATGGGACTTGAGTTAGGAGAAGCAGATTCCTTTAGGGTCTGGAGACTTTGAAATGCTCCCAAGACACACGTACACACATGTCCCCAGGAGTGGCCGACCTCACCTAAGGCGCCCTGCGCTTTCTTGCGCTTCCAACCCCGAGGGTGACTTGAGTTTTCAGGAGACTCAAGAGAGAGAGGCAAAGGGGACTCTCGTCATGCGCTCGGGTCAAGCTTGGAGAGGGGCTGGCGGGTGGGGAAAAGGGAACTTTCGCTCCTGAGCAAAAGTTTCAGGCTCCCTTTGATCCCCTTCTGTCAGCTTAGGAGGGTGGGTGACACGGTGCCTCTCCCAAATCCAAGTCCCAGCGGCCAAAGCCAAAAAGCGCGCGCGCGCCCCTTCACCAAACCCCAGGCGCCTGAACTTACCTGAGCAGGATCGCGCCTTGCTCCGCTGCTTCGGGGTGAAGCTGGAGGCTGGGCCACCCAAAAAACCCCCTGGGTGGAAGAGTCCGCTGCCATATTCGTGCGCAGCGGCGGGCACATAGGAGGGGTAAGTGGGGATGGGGTGGTGGGTGGCAGGCTGCGTGCCCATGGTGGCCAGACCTGGGCGCAAAGGGCTACCGCCCTCCAATTTCATGCTTTCGGTCAGCGACACTTGGTACTTGACACCGTCCTTGTCCTCCCCCCGGGCTGCTGCGCTGCCCCCGGCCGAAGAGGAGGCCGGGGAGGCGGCCCCCGTGGCGCTCGGGTCTGGAGACACCTCTTTGGGTGGCGTCGGTGGGAAGCCGAAGAGATGGGAACCAGAGTGGGCTGCCGTGGGGGTGAGGGAGGCCACCGAGCCTCCGCTGCCTCCCCCGCTGCCTCCAGCCGCCCCTGGGTAGACGGAGAGGGGTCCTCCAGGGCCTCCAGCAGCTGAGGGGTGCAGGGGGGTCTTGGAAAAGGGGCTCACTGTCCAGGGATTGTGGTGGTGCGCAGCCGCGGCCGACAGGGCTGCTTTGCCCCCATCCAGCCAGGGCAACCCGGGGCTGTGCAGCAAGTGGGGACGGCACATCTGGCCTCCGGTCAGGCGAGCTGCGTGCAGAGGGATGCGGGGGGATCAGGGTGGGGACCCAGAATCACGCCATCCCCATCCACCACCGACCAGCAGAGCAAACCAGAAACACCACCCCGCTAAGAATCAGGAATGTCAGTCCCCAGTTAAAGGACAAGTGGCAGCTCAGAAAGATCCCCACCACCACCCCGGGGGGGCCAGGGCAAACGGGGCAAAGCCCTCCAGGTTCCAGATGGTCTCCAAGGGGCCAGTGTCCCCCCTGATCTTTCTCAGCCCGATTTTCTTAGCTGTTCCGATTCCTGCGGATCCCACATCCGGGAAGAGGCCAGCCCGGCTCGGCCACCCCCTCCCTGGCCTGGCGTGGCGCGCGGAGCCTGGGCTTCCCAGTCCCCCAGCAGCAGCCCCAGGCCCCAGGCTCACCGTGCGCCGGGCTGTAGGAGACGCGTGCCCGCGCATGGGCCGGGTTGGCGTAGTAGGGGTTGCCCTGCGAATCGAGGTGATTAAAGAAGACGTCCACTTCGTCCGGGGGCAGCAGCTGAGCCGGCTCCATGTAGTTGTGCGCCAGCCCCGGGTGGTGCGAGTCGGGGTGCTGGGCGTTCAGCACCGCGGGGTGCGCCATCCAGCGAGGCTGCTCCGGCGCCACCTCCATGGCCCGCGGCGGCGGAGGCAGCGGCTCGGGATCTGGGAGGAGGTGGCCGCGGCCCTGGGCGACAGAAGGAAGGAGGGAGGAGGGTCTGAGACGGACGGCTCATGTCTGAACCCCCCCCCCCTTTTCCAAGTCCCAGCACTCGGCGTCACGCGCGCGTCACGGAGCCCCCCGCGCAGGACCGGGTCCCCGGGTGGGCGGAAAGCGAAAAAAGGTTCAAAACGAAAGGAAGGCGCGGGGGAGGGGGTTCGGCCACGCACACTCACAGGGTGACCCCCGCGATCCCGAAGCCACCCTTGTGTGTGGGGGGGTGTCACAGATGGGGACAAGCCCTGACACCCGGTGACCCTAAACAAACGCTCCCCAGAAGGCGCTTAAGTCCACGGAGCCCCCCACCCTCCTGGGACACCAACGCACCAACTCGGGCTAAAAAAAAAGTTGGAGACGCGAGCCCGGACCCCCACGGGGACGCAGGACTCCAGCGACAAGGACACACCTACACTTGGCCGACGGTGCCCCATTCCGATCGCGACCCCCTCCCCGTCCCCAAAACACGCACTCGCAGCCCCTGCGGGCTGAGCGCCAAAGCCCCCCGAGCGCACTCCCAAGTGGCACCATCTGGACCCCCTCATCGAGGCGCAGCGAAGCGATCACACTGGCAGCCCGGACCCCAGCAGGGACCCCTCCAAAACTAGGAGCCACCCCCAAGCTCCCCCCTCCCCTGCGTCCGCTCCGCACCCCAAACTTACACACGCAGCGCCGCACGGAGGGAGGGGACCCCGCCGTAGAAAGTGCGGGAGCACCCACGACCGTCCCGGGGGTGGCTGGCCCAGCCACAGCGCGTCGGTGGCCGGTGGGGCTCACGGGGTAGGGGAGGGGGACAGCGCGCGCCTCGGCCTCGGGCCCGCCCGGCTCCGGCCCCTCGGCATCCTCCGGCCGCCCTGGCGCCAGCTGCCGACTCCTGCACAGACATGAAGCGGGGGCCGCGCACGCCTAAGAAGCCGGCGCCAGCCAATCAGCGCCGCGCGCCGCCCAGCCTCCGCCTCCCATTGGCTGAGCCCGCAACTCCCGGTCCGCTGGACTCCCGGACTGACCCGCGGGCGGGCCCCCTCGGTTGGCGGGGGCCCCCCTCCCAGCGCCCTCCCGGCAGCCCCTGCTGCCAACGCCCCCCTCCAGGGACCCCCCACTCGCGGGTCCCTTCTTGGGGACACTATGGGATCCCTCCAACCTGGTCCCCTCTCGGCAGTCCCTAACCATTCACCGGGTCCCCCTTTCTTCCCAGTAGCCCGGCCCTTCCTTGCACCCTGTCCGGGTGTCCTCCTCTTGGGGACCCTAGTCCCTCCACTCTCTCGGAGGAAGTCCCACCTCTTTTCCCACTCATGGTGGTCACTACCTTCCCAGATCGCTCCCTCCCCCAACTCTGGGGGCTGCCTGGGCAAGGTGGGGGAGGACCCCAAGGGCAGCTGATGGGACAGCAGGAGTGGACAGCCGCAGGAACCAGCCGGCCCTGGAGGGCACCTGGGCCTGGGGACACGCGGCCGCTCTGGGCTGTGCCTGACCCCGTGGAGGTGGCCTGGTCGGCGGCTCCACAAAGGGGGTGGGTCATCCCTCTGCCCGGGCGTGGCCTTCGCAGACCACCGGGCTGAACAGCCTGGGGCGAGGCCGAGGAGACCCGGACTGGCGCCAGCCTGGGCTGCAGGAACATGCCCCGGGGCAGAAAGAAGGCATTTTGTTTAAAACTCCCCGGAGGCGATTCCCAGGGAGGGGTCAGGCGGTGGTCTCTGAGCTCTGCGTCCCCCTGGTCACCTGGAACAGGGGGGACGCACACACCTCCATCCCGGGGGGATCCATCTGTGGGGCTTCATGGGGCCGCGTGCGCCCATCTAGCTGCCACCCACTGTCCAGAGAGCAGAGAGACCGAGGTTCCCAAAGGACCCCTGTGACCGAGGACAGAGGGGATCCCCTCTAAAGAGATTTGGGGGAACCTAAACAGGTGCGGGGTGATGGGAGGAGGGGGTCGTGGATACCCTCCAGGTCCTGTCCCCTGGCTGGGCCCACCATGGGGGGTACCCATCCAGCAGGATCCCAGGTGGGACCCGGTGGGGGGGGCAGGAGGAGGGCTGGGGTCCCGACCACCCCCCCCTTTACACACCGGGGGTGGGGGAGGGGCGGCGGGATTGACAGTCGGTAATTGGGTAACTGGAGGCGGCTTCTCCGGCCCCGGCGGCCCCGCCACCGCGACGCCGGGCCCCTGACGTCACCCGATTCGCCAGGAAATGAACTTTTTAATAATCCGAGGAGGGAGGAAAAGCCCTCGGTCCCCGTGGCTTCGGGGGGCGCCGGGCCCAGGCTCGAGATCCTCGGGGCGCGCCCCGGTCACACCGCTCCCCCCCCTCCCAGGCCAGCCACCAGGCAGCGCCAAATGGGGGGCGCGCAGGCTCCTGGCTGGGGCCCTCCTCTCCTGCCTGTGCGTCTGGAGTCTGTGGGTCCGAGGCCCCCGGCGCAGGTAGAGGCACGGGGCTGGGGGAGGCTGAGCTCCGTGAAGCTGGAAACCCGGCCGGAGGGGACCCTCCAGGCGCCCCCTGGCCACCCGCTGCGTCCTTCCCGATCCTTTCCATTCCGGAGAGCGCGGGGCCTGGGCTGCTTGGAATTCCGTTCCCCGGGAGAGGAGGCTGGCGTCCGCCCCGAGAAGGGCGCGCGGGGGAGCCGGGGCACGGGAGCGCAAGGCCGCTGGCTCCGGGCCTCTCGGGGGGGACGCAGCGTGGCAGGTGAGTGACCTCCGGGACTCCAGGTGCGCGCTCCCCACCAGGCGCTCGGTCCAGCCGGGAGCCCCACGCCTGTCTCCCCTCCGGCAGCTCCCGATCCTGCCTCCACGCGTAAAATGAGATCGCCACGGAGCTTGGAGCCCCTTTGGGCCTGAACAGGAGCCTCCCTCTCCAAGACCCCCCACGGCCTGGGGACACGTTCCCCCGACTCCTGTTGTTCTGCAAAGCCACCGAGCTGGAACCAGGCAGGGACTCAGCCGCGGGAAGCCGTACCCGCCGCGGGGCGGTGATCGCCGGAGCCGAGCGGAAGCGTCTCGCCCCGGCCACGATCGCAAACGGAGGTGGGCAGCTCGGAGCACCCGGGAAAGCAGGTAATGCGCCTTTATTTATTTTTTTTTTTTGTCCCCAACGTTGGGGACAATGATCTCGATCTGGGGTGCAGGGGACAGGGGGATGCAATTTCAGCTACAGGAATGGGGTCTGGGTCCCTCCAAAGGGAGGGGGAAGGGGATCGGCTGGTCCAGGTCCCCCTCTCCAAACCTCACCCCAAGCGCTGTCGCCGGCCTGGCAGAGAGCAAAGCGCAGGAGGAGATTCAATTACCCCAATCGGCAGCTCAGAAAATCGCAGCCGCTTAGCCGGGCGCTTAGGCGACGCTGGAGTAGGGGCCTCCCGAGACCCGCACCGGCCCCGGCTGCCCGCGCTCTGGGCGCAAAGCGAATCCAAAGAACAAGGGGATTCCGCCAGGTCCCTGGAGACTCTTGGAGATGCCTTTCTGCAAACTGCAAGCAGCCAGCTGGCCTGGCCTGAGCCTCCACCGAGGTGTGGACTCCTGCGTTGGATGCGGGATCGCTGAGTTTTGCAGCCAGGAAGGAACCCGCCTGGGACAGCCAAGTGCCACGCCCGGTAGCCATCAGCCGAGATGGCCTATAAACTGGGGGCGCCCCCTGCGCTCTCCATATATGCCTGAGCCAGACGGACAATCTTCCAAAGCCTCACCCGCTAGGCCTGCCAGACAATCCTGCCACTTCTAGTCTCCAGCAAACCTCCGGCAGCGATGGCCAGTCAGGTCTGTCCCCTGGATCAGTCCCCGGCTGCAGTATTGAGGTGACCGTCCCCACCCCCCCAGCCCCGATCAGAATAGATTCGTTCCACTTTATGCATCGGATGATGGTGTCCTCGGGATCACTCCGGAGGGATAAAATCCTCCTGGTCCATTTTTGACTTTGGTCTTGTTCGATGCTGAGCAAAAATGCTGCTTTTGATCGCACTAAGGAGCTGTCACGTTCTTTACACGGCGACAAGATTTTTTTTTTTTTTACGGCGACTGAGGAAGGTTGGCCAAGGAAAAAAATGGAATTGGAGAACGGCCCTTTTCAAGGGATTTCCCCAGGAAGCATACTCCCCACCCCCCATCGGCCCCAGGGCCCCCCAACTCATCCAGGCCCGGCTCTAGAGCAGGACCTCGCTTCTACAAAAAGGCTGCCAAATGCCAGACCCGGTCACTACTGCCCAGGTCTCCCACTTGGATCCAAATCCCCCTCTGGGCCCTTTGTTTAAACCTCACTCATCCGAGGCGGGCCCCTTTGGGATCATAAGTTTGCCTTTTAATTTTTCTAGGCTTTTCCTATGAGCAGCTAATTAGCCTGCAAGAAAGGTGTGGGGGGGGGGTTCAAGGAACCCCTATTTTTCGACATCTTTCTTTTTTCCTTTTTTTAGAGACTTTTACTTGGCCACACTGCCAATAAATCTCCAAAGATCCTGGGGAGGAAGTAGGGTCATTAGTAAGCTTCAGAGGTCCCTCTAGACCGGGTACTCAAACCTGCTCAGTCTCTGCCTAACCCTCCAGAGGTTCACCCCAAGAGTGGGACCAGGCATCTAGCACCCTCTTTTTTTTTTTTTAACAAATCAGGAGGCTTGCTCTTTGTGGGGTCCTGGCCTCCTCTTTCACCCCCACTCCACCCCGCTCCACCCTCCGTGTCCTCTTCCTGGGCCTCCTTAGGAAGCGGGCTCTGCCCTTCCATACTGATTCCTTCGGAGACTAGAGACCAGGGCGGACGGTCTTAGTGGACCTCACGGCCTGAACCCGAGGCACCTGGAGAGATTCTAAATCTCCTTACCGGGTTCCAACCTCCACCTCCTGGGGACAAGGGGGTCACCTGAGACCTGCGGACCATCCGCCTGCGTGTCTAACCTCCTCCTCCTAACAGCTCGGGTGCTCCCCAGAGCCCCTTGGCTGAACAGACCCTTGGCAACTGCTCAATCCGTTTCGTTAGACGCCATTTGTTTGCAATTCGTCAACCCGGCTGGGACACGCTCTCCAGACGCCTGGCCAGTCGGCTTTCACCCTACCTGGTTCCTGAATCCTGCTTGCTTTGAAACGAATCCCAGCGCGGGATGCTGCGTAGACCCGGAGCCAGATGTTCCCAACCCCGGACAGATGTAGCTATTTTTTTTTTCTTTTTTTCCAAAACCAACGAATTTTTTTTTTCCCCCTTGCTTGCTGGGGGAAAAATGCAGCCACCAAACCCGCCGATCCTGAACGCAAAAGGACCTTGCCATTTGCAGCTGGGTCAACTCCGCCCTCCCCATCCAAGCCTGGCCTCCTCCACCGGAGCT